AGTGTGGAGTTTCAGAATTGCAGCACTTACTGTTGCAGGGGCTGCTTCCAGAAGTGAAGTTTTGCTGAGGTATGAATTGGTTAGGAAATACAACCTCTAGTCTGGGGAACCCTATTCTATATATTAATGATCAAGAGGAAAGCCCATCAGAGGGAGAAGCACTTCAGCACTGATTTGCCTTGTACATCTCTCCCTGTGAAGTATCTGATACTTAACGCTGTCAAAAGCACAGTCCTGAGTGAGGTGACCTGATTGGAACTGACAGCTCCTATGTTCCACTGAAATCAGGTCAAAAGACAAGTGTGTGGGGAAAGCAAAGACAAATGGAAAAACAGAAAGTTTGATGGGTCTAATATTTCACAGTCTCCAGTGACTAAAAAATACACGCTTGAGGCCACAAAAATGGTGTTATAGTTTTTTTGTATTTTTTGTTAAGCAAGAAGCTAGGCTTGAAATCTTCCTAGTCTCTGATTTCACTAGGATTTTGTACAACTGGTCGAAGTCTAACTTCAGCAGAAACAAGACTGGGGATCACCGAAAATGTCCTGAGGCTGAGGCCTGTTGGCCAGACTCCCATGGGAAAGTATGCCTTGATAACTGTCCTGTAAATAAGTAGAAGGTAGGCGTTTTCAGGCATATCCTTGACATCTAGACATATCTATAACTTTAATGGATGTCTGCCCTTGTGGCTTGTCATTTTTCCCTGTAAAAGCACAAGTATGCAGCACTGGATATGAACCTAACTAAGTCTAAAAGAATTATCACTTACGTACCACTCTTCATTTGTACTCGGGAGCTTCTGACATACACCGTTTTTGACTAACAAATGTTTAGGTCATATAAGTCATTCTGGAGAAAAGTATCTCAAAATTGCTTCATGTTTTTTAGGTCAACAGTTGTAAGAACACTAAATTCAGAAATGCCAAAATTGCCTTTAAAAAGCACCAATGAAAAAGCAAAATAAAACATTCTAAGTTGGCCTGAGGTCACTGAGTTTTTCTGCTAGTCCTAAAATGTAACAAAACAACAGATTTGAATGTATTTGAAAGATGTGCTTAAATAAGAGTTGCTGAGTGCACAGAGGATTTGTATCTCAAAAAGGTGGAGTACAAACTATCCTTCCCCTCTCACTTGACCATTTAAGGCCTGGATAATTCAAAAGCAGTTTAGCAGATATTCTCCAACCTTTCCAGCATTATTTTTTCCTCTGGACTGAGATCAATCATGAGAAAATTCAGCCCAAAGGGCAATTTTGGGGAAAAAATTGTAATCTGCTGAAAGGTAAGGTTTAGAATGAAAATGCTTTTCAGCCATAACTATTTCACATCAATCTTTAACACTTTAACTATTACATTATTAAAGTACAGTTTATTGTATGAATTACATATATATAATGTATAAATGCATATATTAGTGTATATGTAATGCAGTAGCCAAATATTATGGAAAAAGGTAAGCTTTATGAATAATAGCAAGTGTAAGCAAAATATATGTAGAAACAGAAAAGATAATATACAACTATTAACAAGAATTCATCTTTACAAATTGAAGGCTCTGACATTAGCCCAGATCAAAAATCCAATTCTACAGCACTAGGAGATAAGGAATTAAATAGAGTGAAGATATCATCTAAACTGGTATTAAAAGGTTAGCAGTGCTTAAAATTGATTAGTTACCAAGACTAGACAGCCTTCATCCCAGGCTGTGAGAAGAGCATTGGCCAGATGTTGCAGAAGCTTTAGTCGTCATTTTAACAAACTCTCAGACTAGGCAAGAGCTTCACAGATTGCAAAGTGGGGAGCATAACTGTTAGAAGGCAGGCATCCCAGCATGTTACGCAGCAGCAAAGTTAACAACAGTTGGCAAAAAAAACCCATCAAAAACCTTTAAAAAGACTTAATAGATCATATGGGCTTTGTATCTACGAGAACAGAAACACAATTGAGGAATTAGGAACTGGTTAGTTTTGGGAAGGAAAAGCTGTGAATGGACAAATCCTTTGGAAACTGAAAGATCAGAGAACTAAGAGATATGTCAGGATATAGACAAGTACCTTACACTAAATTTCAGACTATGGCAGGTTATGTAAAGATATCCAGGAAAGATGATGCTCTCTCAAAGATTAATCTAAACTATTTACTGCTTTCCTACCTGTCATCAAGGCAGGAAAGAAAGAATAAAGTAAGTTTTTAAAGACAGACAAGAAGTTAGCACTGGGACATGGATGTGTCATTTTCATCTCCGAGAAATGTCACAGATGACAGTAACAAAAGCAATATGTGACTGCTGACAAAGATGAGTTCATTACTAAGATTAATAGCAAAAAATAAAGTCAGAAAGGGCTGAGGACTAGATACTTGGCCAGACATGGTGATGCAAACTGTCACTGAATGCAGATACAGTAAATCTATTACAGCAGAGAAGCCTGTAAGTCTTTTCATGGTAAGTTGTGGTTTTGCCACTATGGATTTGCCATGAAGAAAATGTGTCAACAACCTATGAATCATAAGAAAATATAACGATGTGTCAAAGCACCTATTTACTTTGAAAATACAAGAGTCTCAAACAAAAGAAAGCAAAAGGAAAGAAAAAAGGTTCTGCACCCATAGAGAAATCAGACAGCACTTCAGTAATTAATATTTATTACTTATGGCACCTTTCGTACATAGAAAATGCTGAACAAATACAAACTGACTTGTACAACACTCCTACAATACGTGATACACATACTTATGGAAATGACAGTAGGGAGCTGCCAATGAAATAAATTCCTGGAGATCATCCCTTGTGGGGAAAAGCACTGCACATGAGATGAGGCTGTCATGTAAGGATTGCATAGCACACCTGAGGACACGATTTACATGGAAACTGGAGAGACAGAGCAAGAGAGAAAGTCAAAAAGGTGGGTAAACCTCCATGGGATATGCAATCAAGATGCTTTTAAATGAAAGCAGCAGAAGCTGATTTTGACATGTGGCTATTTTCAGGTTTGGAGGTAATCGCATTCAGGCTGAGCACACCACCTGCAGGCAAAGCCCCATCAGAAAATGGAAAAAGCTTTTTTGCCACCAGCACTTAGAATCATAAAACGTCCTGAGCTGGAAGGGACCCACAACAATCATCAAGTCCAAATCCTGACTTCACATAGCACAACCTAAGAGTTAAACCATATATCAAAGAGCACTGTCCAAAAGCTTCTTGAACACCAACACACAATTACCTGAGAAGTGCGTTCCAGTGCCTGGCCACCCTCACATTGAAGAACTTTTTCTTAATAATGAATCTGAACATTCTCAGTCGAAGGATTAAGCCACTCCTTCACACCGTATCATTGAACACCAAAGAGAAGATATCTGCACTGCCCTCTCCACACAGTCTCATGAGGAGTTTGTAGACAGCAATGAGGTCTCCTCTCAGCCTCCTTTTCTCACCTTTTCTCAGCTGTTCCTTTTAAGTCTTGCTCTCTAGTCCTTTCACCATCATTGCTGTCTCCTATTGAGCTTCCCATCAACCAAAACCACCAGACCTCTTTCTGCTGGGCTGCACACCAGCCTCTTTTCCCCCAGTCCACATGTACATCCAGGATTACACCAGAATTTGTCATTTTTCCTGGTTAAACATTATGTGGTTGGTGACTGCCCACTGCTCTACTCTATCCAGATGTCTACAGTAGGCCTCTCTACCCTCAAGGGAATCAACTGCTCCTCCTAATTCAGTATCATCAGCAAACTTAGTGTGGACTCAACTCCTGCATCCAGGTAATTGATAAAACACTGAATAGAACTGGCTCCTGAGGAGTGGGGTGGCTTTGCTTGTTTCTTTTAATTGGGAGTGTGGGGTTAAAGCCAGAGACCAAGGATCAGTTTACAGCCTCCACCAGCTAAACTCTCTGCTTGAGACTGATTCATTATAAATGAGCTTTCTTGCAGCTTAGTTTACCTGCCTGTAAAACAGGTAATTCAGAGCCAGACCATCAGCTGTGATCTGGCAGAGCTCCACTCAGTTCCCAGTGTCAGAAGGGGACATATTTGGCCAAAATTAATTGTCACGCATCCCTGGTGAGGCAGGCAGAGGGATTTACATCATGACCTGCCTTGCTGCATCCATGACTACACGGATGGGCACAGACATGACAGGATGATGGTCTGATCCATATGTTGCACAGCTCTTCTTAAGCTGAAGTGACAATGCACCTTCCAGAGGGGATCTGTCATATGCTTGGCATGTGGCTTGTGTCTATAGGGCACCCACCTGTATAAAAATATTTTTTCCCTACCTCACAGGAGCAATGAAGGTTTATTAATCCCAACTAATTGGGTCTCTAGTGTTGACAACAACGTCTGATATGTCCAGGCTTGTCTGTGAAACACAGCTGATGATTGATTTCAGAATGTTCTTTTTATTGTTGTTAGAATAACCAATCCTCTGTAACGCTCTCCCCAACTATGTTTGGGAAGTGAAATAACAAAATCAAACAATGGCAACCTCTTGAAATTCAATTTATGGAGTCAGGCAGAAAGTAAATAAGCATACACCTGATGGAAAAACTTCACCTCACTAATAGCAACTGAGCATATGAATTGAATGGGCTCTGTGATTTTCTGCCCAATTAACATAACTTCAAAATCATTCTCCAGTCAAGAGTTCCCAGCCCAGGGTATTCCTTGGCAGAACCTCAAGACATCCTGCTTGAACAGAGAAACAGAAACAAATGCTTCCCTTACATAACCTGCCTTCGGATCCCGACCCAGCATAAGGATCAGTGGTTTAGTTGTTTAATTTCCCCAAGCAGTTTTGGCTTTTCCACAAGGTTAAACTATAGTATGGATTATATACCTACTATAAAAAGAGACTAATACATGGTATGCAATATTAATCATAGGTGATGTTTTCAGAATATAAAAATATAATATCATCAGAAATCATTCAATATATTTTTAAAAGGACTCAAAGAATTCATAGATGGTACAAGAAATCTCTTTAAAAAAGAAAAATCTTACCTGTCACAAGCTGCTGCCCAGCTAGTCCTACTGGAACCATACCCAGGTTATTCATAGCTGTAGCCCAAGCTGTCGGATCAGTAACTGACATGTTAAGTTGTGTGGTATCTATAGCTATACTTCCCAAACCATCAGCTGCTGCAAGAAAAGAAGCACACTGTAAGTAGAAAAGTCAACGTGACAAGATCTTTAACCAAAGTCTTAAGTGAAAATGAGATATCAAAGCCACTGCTTATTCTGGGTTTGTTTCTTAATTATGGTTCACCTTTTAGACCACTGATAACAGTGCTTGCTATTGTGTAGCAAAACATAAAGACATTGGAAACATTCAAAAGATATAAAATGAAACAAGAGTCATTTGGGCTGGTTGTATGGAAAACTTTTTCACCATAAGGACAGTCAAACAGTGGAACAGGCTGTGCAATTGCCACCTGTGGCAGCTTCCCAGACTCAACTTTAGATAAAGGTATAAGCCCTGAAAACCTCTGATATGGCTTAATTGTATATAGTCTGTGACAACTTGCCAGAAACGTGTTGGGAGAACTCAGGAAAAGAGTTTCCACTGGTCCTCCCATTTTCCATAAAGGTGTGGGATTTTTTGTAAAAGATTTAAGAATACATTAGCACTTAATTAAAAAGAGGTCAAACCAAATCAATTCACTTTGGAAAATATCAAGGGGTTTTGCCTAAAAAAAAAAAAGAGAATTACGAATATGGCATGGATTTCCCTGGGCTGTGCAAGCAAGAGTGGGTTGGATAGCTAAGGAATGGTATTTTTCCAATACTGAATCCCCAAAATCAAGGTGTGATCACACATTTTTGTTTCACCCCTCCCCACTCACAGCTGAAATCAGCTCTTTCCAGCTATTTTCTTACAACCTTTGCAGATCTGAGAAATTTACCGGCAGCCATTGTTTTTCCCCAGTTCCTTTTGCTCCTGTTAGACCTCTTCAGCTAGGAATAATCAATTACTGTATTAGCAGCATCTTGACATGGGATATCACTGAACACAGGGCCCACACACAGCTCATTAGGCTCTGAAAGAGAAAAGATGAAATCAGCTATCAAGTGCTGCAGTCAGAACATAGTTGTAAAAAACCAGACCGCTTTCAGAATCATAAAATCATAGAATGGTTTGAGTTGGAAGAAACCATAAAGATCACCTAGTTCCATGTATTATATGAAACTCTCACTTAAAGCCCCCCTTGTACTGTCACTACATGCCCTTGTAAAAAGCCCCTCTCCAGATTTCTTGTAGGCCCCTCTAGACACTGGAAGCTGCTCTCAGGTCTCCCCAGAGCCTTCTCCAGGCTGAACAAGCCTAACTCAGACTGTCTCCATAGGAGAGGTGCTCCAGCCCTCTGATCATCTTCGTGGCCTCCTCTGGACTTGCACCAACAGGACCATGTCCCTGTTATGCTGGGAGCACCAGAGCTGAATGCAGTACTGCAGGCGGGATCTCATGAGAGTGGAGAAGAGGGGGAGAATCCCCTCCCTCCACCTGCTGGTCACGCTCTTTTGGATGCAACCCAGGATATGTTTGGCTTTCTGGAACGTGTTGAGCTTTTCTTGTCAAGCAACACTGCTGCTGCACACTCCCTCTGGATCAGAACACCCAGCCTCCTTGCATGCATTTAGTGGCTGCTGTAGAGTTGTTTCAGCAAATGCTCAACTTTACCTGAACAAAGAGTGCCATGTATGAACCTGTCAGACTGCTGAAAAGCCCTTCACAAATTAGGTCTTATCAGTAGCTACACAGCCTCCTTGGCTTGAAGGCCTCAGCTGAAAGAACATATTAAGGGATGAATATGATTTTTTTTCCCACTGTTAATAATTAACTGATGTTGCAAGTTTCAAGGAAATAGTCTCCTGTTCTGAGATAAATAGGGAAAAAAAATACACTGCAGTGAGTTACACAATGGAGCCTGCAGGGACATGGTAAAGTAAGAAAACCTAACAAAGCTAAGGAAGATGCCTCCACCTTAAGTAACACTGTATCTTTGGCTCACAAAGGTTAGTTAGCTCAAAGCAAGGGTGGAGTATCTGTTTCTAGCTAAAGCACACTGCTTTCACCAGGTATCTGTCAAATCATGAATTTTACATAAGGATAACTTCTTGCTGTTACTGTTGTTTGTGAAGCTCACAACATCAGCACACCATTGGTCAGAAAGGAGGCTGAATGACCGAACAGGTAAGGGGTGTGAGCAAAGGCTGTGAGCTCCCAGAACTCACAGCAGAGGGAGAGAACACTGGGGTGAGGATGACCACAGATATATATGCTCATGTTATTCCTTGTGCATTAGCTACATGTGACTGGCTGGCCTAGAGCTCTGACCTACAGTGTTTGGTATTATTGGCCAACAACTGACCACATGCTTACAAGTGTTGGGGAGGTCACTAATGCTGTGCAGGTGCATCTCAGTGACCAGTTCAGCCTTAAGATATTTGTGCTGTCTTTAATAAAGTACTCAAAAGATCTAAAGAGGTTGCCAACATGAAAACCCTAAGAATTCATCTTTAGAAAAGACACAATTAACATGATTATGCTGTATTTTAGCTTCGTGCCTCCTACACTCTTCTTTTTTTCATGTGATGTGCATAAAGTACAAGCCAGAAAGTTTTGTATTATAATTCCCTGAGATTGTACAGATCACTTCATAGGAACCTGACCACATTAGTAGCTGTGAAAGTGAAGGAAGAGTCAGGATCAGACACTGCTGTACATTTTTTAGTATACTGAAATTTTCGAACAACCACTATGCTAGGTTAAAAAGCATTTTGTTCAAATCTGCAGTGGGCCTATTTAAAAGTCACTATTTATCAACTCTTAATATTGAATTTGCAATTCCAGTTCTTACTTGATCTCCACTATTCATTATAAATAACATAAAATAATTTTATCATAAAATTAGCTTTTAAGTTATGTCTATAAACACCAAACAAACATTGAACCAAAGTTCTCTGCAGGGAATGTGACTAACATAAGGCAAGCCACCCAAGATTTATGCCAAGTTTTTAAAAACTGGGTGTCTCCTGTTCAGTTCCTTAAACTTGTACTTAGTTCTTTCCACTCAGGCTATAAACTTCTGACCACAAACATCTATTTCAAGGTTAGAGCTGGCTGAATTATTCCTTGTCAGTAAGTTATTTCTCACACAGTACAGCCCCCCTCGCTCTTTATGAACCATTCCCAAATCAATCTTGATTTACAAATATATGCTGAGTAGCACAGATGAAAGTGGTTCACTTCTTCCCATGACCAACAGTCTTGATGCAGGAAGGCGCATCTGAAAGCCAAGAGTGATGAAATGCCTTTTCATACCTTTCTGTGTTGTTGCTTGTCTGCATAATGCATCACCCTGACTGCTGGGGAGGAAGGAGGTGCTGCCCCATGGTTTTGAGGTAAAGGCATTTCAGACAGGTCTGGATTATTGGAATAAGATATATAAATGGGTGTCAGACTCTCTATGACACCCTCTTTGTCTCCTTGTTTTACTGCCTTGTGAAGTGTGCCCTAGGTGACAAGGTCTGCTGCCAAACTCTACACTCTCTTTCCCCCAAACCCACATTGAAATTGTATGAGCTCTGCCAGAAATGGGAACTGGTCCATAAGGAATCAGACACCGAGGTAGACAAATGCACCTCAGTCTACTGGGAATTAATAGATCACTTTTTTGGCATTTGCCTTCTTCATGTTATCCACATATTTCAGACTTTAATATACTTCAATGAATTAGCCACAAGTATTCATTAAACTCCTTGTGTTGGAGGAAGAACATAGCACCACGAGTATGAAATAAAGGAGAATCAGTGGGTTAATTGGTGAAACACCTGTTGTACTATGCCACCAGCTCTGTCCAGTGTGCCATGAAAGTATTTGCTTGAAACATCACAACCCATTCTGGCTTTGGGCACCTTCGCCTTCTCTCTGGCCATCAAGTCTACTGCTTTATCAGCAGGACCTGGATGCAGTGCAGGCTGAACCAGGGGATAAAAACACAAAAGAGCATGTGAGAAGCCTAAAGTGGAACTAGTTCTATCTAACCTAGAACTGCTGCAGGCTATTTTCTCAGTGGAAAGAAAACTGAACAACAAGCACAAACGCACTTATGAACACTGAATAATTTGCAGCAAGCTGTAGCCAGAACTAATTGTACAGCCTGTAGAAACTAGCTCTCTTAAAAAGAAAAATACTAATTGTGAACATCCCTTCTACTGCTAACTTGCTGGTAACATTAACACAGAGCAACATAACATAGTTAAAGTAATCTCACAGGCATTCCACACCTGATTTAGATTCAAAAATTAGCTTTTGTTTAAAAACTTCTGAAAATTCAGATGGGGAAGGTTTCATTAATGCTTAAGGTAAAATCAGCTTTGGGCAAATTTCAGCATTTCTTTGTATAACTCAGACACTTCACTATTATACCCTTCATGAAACTGGAAACAAAACAAGCCAGAGAAACAAATAAATCCACTCACCAGGTTATATAAGCAAAGTGCTGTGTTTGATGAGAAATACATCTACTAGCAAAGATTCTTGCTTTCTTAAAAATAAAAGAAACCACTGTGATACTGCTTAAACAGGCAAGAAAGTGTAAGCTTATGCAAGATCCTGTGTGTCCTTCGCAGATATTAATCAACACCATTTCACTGACATCACACCTTTAGAAAGCATTCCTGATTTATTAGGTACTCGCCCAGGCATTAATGACCTGAAGATACATGTAAAAGAAATCTGTGTTTATAAATCCTACAAGGATGCTGGGGAGGGACTCTTCATTAGGGACTCTAGTGGTAGGACAAGGGGTAATGGGTTTAAACTTAAACAGGGGAACTTTAGGTTAGATATACGGAAGAAGTTCTTCACTGTGAGGGTGGTGAGGCACTGGAATGGGTTGCCCAAGGAAGTTGTGAATGCTCCAACCCTGGAGGAGTTTAAGGCCAGGCTGGACAGAGCCTTGGGCAACATAGGTCAGTGTGTGGTGTCCCTGCTCATGGCAGGGGGGTTGGAACTAGATGATCTTAAGGTCCTTTCCAACCCTAACTATTCTATGATTCTATGAAATGTTTGTGCATGGTAGTAGCTTTACTCCAGGGAAGTAACTTCAGAAGCAAATAAAGCCATAAGCCCAACTTACAAGAGAAAATGTGTAAAGTCTTCTGGGCACTGAAATTCCTTGAGGTTTGGGAGAAGCAGAGATGTTAATACAAACTTCCTTATTTGAGAGCTTCTGATTAACAAAATTTCAATGCCAAACACTTTGTAAAACGATTCCATGTAACACTTTTTGTGTTCTCTCTTTTTGCAGACATAATGCAAGTACCAGCCCTCGAATGGCAGATTGTGGGAGACATTTAGACTTTCCTCAGACAGGTTGTCAGGAAGATAAAGCACTCTCAAGTCCATACCAATGAGCACTTCTCAGTCATAGCAGTCACAGCAGATTGTACTTAGTACGCATATTTTATACCAGGCAATTAAATGCAGTTACCCAAATGAATACAGAAGTTGGTTATATATTGTGCATCAATTATCACAGGCAATGAATGCCACGAGACAAAGAAATTAACACAACATAAAAGTAATTCAATAACATAGCAGATTGCTAAGTTAAAATCCTACCCTTTAGATATCTATAACAGACAATGAATTACGACATGGAGTGAAGCTGATTAAAAGCACCACTGTAACGACTCTCTGTGGAGTGCCTGGGTCAGTGGCCAGCCACAGGATGCAAAGAGGAGGTTCTTCACCCAACTTTGACACCGACCTGCTGGGTGACCTTCAGTTATTTCACCTCTTTGTCTAATTTTAGTGACCACTAAATCCTTCAAGGAAAAGACTGATGCCACCAACCTTATAAAACCCGGGACTTCAAGTCACAGAGAGGTTAGATGTTGCCTGTTCTCGAGACAACACAGATGGGAAGGAGCAATGTGGTATCTTTTGAACTGTAATATCTAAGTGAATTTTCCGGTTCTTAGAAGAATGGCATGTGAAAGTGTCACTGTGCCCTGTGATTCATAGGGCACT